GTCCAGGCGGATTTGCCAAACCTGAGAAGAAACCCATACGTAACTGGTTGGTCGTGTGTGACAGGATTCTACAGAAGTTACTGTTTTTTTCCAAACAATTTCATTTTCTGAACCATAAGAACCACCATCACATGTTCTTCAGGTCTTTGCTTAAGAAGATGGAAGATCTGAGGAAACTGGTCTAGTGTGAGGCATCCCTGCCCATGGCAGGGGGGTTGGAACTGGATGATCTTTAAGGTCCTTTGCAACCCAAACAATTCTATGATTCTATGATTTCAGTATATTCCAAGATAACCAGTGGGCCAGATTTAATTATGACAAAATATGTAACACTTAAGCATAAGTTAAACTTCATTCTGCAAAGAAAATATTTGAGTGTGCAGGGTCCCAACTACTTCAGAAAGACTCTGTAGACATGCAAGTGGAAAATGCCTGTAAAGTCAGATATGTGGATCTTCACATTAATCTACAATAGGAATTTCTATCTTCCAAAACAAGGACCATCTAAAAAAAAAAAAAAAGAGTATATGCACCTTTTAGTTTAAACCCACTTGAAATTCATGGGTTTTCATACCTTTTCACCAGCAACAACGCAGAGAGATTCAGTATCTATACATCTGGAATTTCTCAGGCATCGCTCTATTTGTCTGTTTAGTTTCACCAGTAAGTCAGACTGCCTGTCAAAACAAAATTAACCCCAACCGAGTATGATTACACTCTATACTTCCTTGTATCATAGAATAGTTAGTTGGAAAGGACCTTACGATCATCTAGTTCCAACCCCCTTGCCATGGGCAACCATGCCAGTGGCTCTTCTGTCACACCTGCCTAGTCTCTTTAAGACAGTACATACCTGCCAGGCTCAAGACCAGGTGCAGCCATTGGTGAGAGCTCAAGATTAACAAAAAGTATACCTTCTGTCGGCCTACTTGGCTTGGGGGGAACAAGTTCACATGATACTTGTGCAAGAACCCTGCAAAGGTAAACAAACAGCTAAGTCACAGAAGTTAGCTGGAAAAAAAACCCTATCACTAGAAACAAACTATATACTTTGAAAAAGCATGCAGTTAGGGTTTTAGTTTGTATTTCTCACTCCTGTCAGTTTCTTGTTTAATGCCTGTCATACGTATTTAAACTTTGGTCAATAACTCACAGCAGGAAATGCAGGAATCCGAACATTTTACTGTCTCTGAGGATTAAAAATAAACTCAAACACATGACAACCTACACCTAAACGCTTATGTAAGCGCATGTATTCCACTTCCCCACATATAAAAAAGGCAGTTTGATTCGCAGAATACATAACATGAAACCAGCAACTAAAGAGATGAAAAATTATAATTTTGTCTTATATACACTATTTTTCATCTACAATCATCACAGAAACCCCATCCCTTCCCTCTTCCTTCCCCTTCCCCCCCTCCTCTACGGCCTTTAAGCTCTGTTTACTGTGATCTCTCTCGGCAGGCTTTCGGACACCTCACACTGAACGCCACGGAGGTTTTGCCTCCACACGTTCGGAAACACAACGCCCAAATGCCTTTCCCTCCCTCAGGCGGTACGCTGTGCCCGCCCGCAGCCCCGCTCACAACCTGGTCTTGCCCAGCTCCACGATGCAGCAGCCATATTCGGTGCCGAAGGAGATGCGCACGTTCCGGTAGTCATAGCACTGCCGCCCGTCCAGGCGCTGCGGGCCCAGAGACACACACCCACCAGGTTAACACGCCATCCCCCTGCGGTTCGAGGGGCCGGAGGGGCAGCGCCAGCCCCCCGCGGGGTGGGGAAGGGGAGGCCGGGGCCGCTGCAGGGGCTGGGGGAAGGGGAGGCCGGGACCGCACCTTCCCCTCCTCGATGGCGCGCAGAAGGAAGCGCCGCTCGCAGTTGGAGACGGGCGACGGCTTCATGGCGGACCTCGGGTGGCGCGACGCGCCTACGTCATCACCGCGCGGCGGCCGCGATGGGCGGTGCGTGAGGTACACGAGAACCCGCCCGCCTTTCCCTTCCCGCCCGGGGCGCCCGCCGTTGGACTTGGCCGTCCCCGGAACGGTGGGCACAGGGGTCTCCTGCTGCATCTTAGGGGCCACCCTTAGGTGGCCCGCGGTCCGAAGGCTAGCTGCCCAGAACGCGGGCTGGAATCGGGGATTTTCGCACGTCTTCCGGCCGTGACGGGTCGTGCCGAAGTGCGGTCATCATGGAAACTGCCCGAAATTAACAAACGCAACCGCATCCCAGGCATTTTGAGAGGTTAACGCTGTGGTAGGGCCCAGTCTCCAAGATGTGCGTGCTCCTTCAGTCCCTAGGAAACGGCCAGGGTGGTAGTTGGAGCAAGGCAGGCAGTGCTGTAGGCTAAAAGGGAGAAAAAGCTTCAAATCCGTCAGGAGAACATCCTTTCCTGTTGGTCTGGCGCGTTGTCTGTAAGTAGAAACTCAAGTCCTGTACAAGGGGCGTTTATGCTTAGTTCGAGTTCGGTGATTCAGAGAAATCTCTGGGGACTCGCCAACAAAGTTTAAATTGACAAGCAGGTATTCTTTATTGTGGCGCTGGGAGACACGGGGGAGCTCTCCTCCTAGTTTGTCTCATCCAAGCATCAACCAGGCTGTGATTATATTGTCCTTAAACATACATACTCATTAGATTACATACATTACATCATACTTCTAGAGAATGCCTCCCGCATGTACACTAAAATGTGGTAGTGGTCTTTGTTTCTTCATCACTTTGTTTTAGCATCGTCATATCAGTAACCACCAGAGGGTTTTGGCAGAACTTATCTTAGTCATTTCCTTTTCTCTATAGTTGCTAACAAAGCCTAACATCCTTGAAGTTACTTATTTACAACCCTATTCTTCAATCCACCCCATTCTTCACCCTATTCTTCTATCAACCCCATTCTTCAGTCCCCCCTTTTCTTGTCCTATTGCAAATTCTTTTGGAACTGAGTTATATCCAAGACCAGATACTGGCCGATGCAGTCTTGTTAGCATCGAGACAAACACATAACCACCAGGATAGTTATATGAGGTGCTTTATTGAGGCGCCGGGAACCAGGGGTACGCACCCAGATCTGGTTCCGACTCCCGTCACATCGCGTTCGCAATTTATACACTAAAAATCTCATAACTAATACATATTCAACACAGATTACATCATTGACTAATACATATGCATCAAGGATTGCTACATCAGTCTATTACGACATCAGCCTCTTCTGCGCTTGCGCAGCCCCCTCTGGTGGTCGCCCTGATGAAGTAAGGAGTCTTCCTTGGATGAAGTAAGAAGTCTTCCTCAGGTTGTCCTCTTCACCTTTTCTCTACTTGGCTAGGTCCCAATCGTCTTCCGTACGTTAGCATTCTCTTATCTTCACCAGGATGCTTCTGGTATGCCCTTTTTGGCTATCTTAAACTTAGGCTCTGCTTGGATAGAGTGTTACAATACATACACCCATACTCCCCTCACCATATACAGTTATGTTAGCTCTTGCTACCAAGCCTACCATTGTAACATTTAGTTATAGAGTAACTATGATACAAAACGGCAAAGTTATGATGTCTTCTAATATACAAAGCCTCACTATTGATTTATAAATTTCTCAAATATAATCATTTTACTATTTTATATGATTATTTTATTGTAAAAACTTCACCCTAACAGTCTCACACGTGTGGGTCCTGAAGACTCAGCTTGCCATATCTTCTCTGGCTCTGGTGCTTTCTTGACCCTTGAATAGTGTATCCAAGCAGGTTGTTTGTTTATCTTCACTGCTGTAAAGGTAGTTAGTAATACTTGGTATGGTCCACTCCACTCCTCTTGTAGGGGATCACCTGCAAAATTCTTAATATAAACCAAATCTCCTCACTTAAAAAGGGTAAATAGGACAATCTAAACCTCTGGCCCTGGTCCCTAACACTCTGACGTTTATTTCTTCTGTTTTCCGAAGTTTACCAAGAGCTGTTTTAGGTATCCTCCTACTTCTTGAAGGCTCTGTCCTTTAAATTGAGATTGATATGGCCTTACATGTAGAATCTCAAAATGGGCTAATTTCTTCCTTTGACCGAGGTTTTGTTCCGAGTCTCAATAAGGCCAGTGGTAATGCTTGATACCAATATAACTTAGCCTCTTGACAAATCTTCCCAAGCTGTTGTTTATTGAAGTGGTTCATTTTTTCCACTTGCCCACTGGCCTGGGGCCTACATGGAACATGTAATTGCCAATCTATTTCCAATTTCTTGCTGATTTCTTGTAATGATTTTGTGTACTGTGGTCAGAGGAGATAGTTGCTGGTACCCCAAAATGAGGTATTATTTAATTTAATAGCACCTTAATCACTTGTTTTGCATTATTTGCCTTGGAAGGGAATGCTTCTGGCCACCCTGAAAAAGTATCTCAATGCCAATAAATATCAATAACCTCCTTTCCTAGGTAATTTAGAAAAATCTATTTGCCACTGTTATCCTGGGTAATTCCCCTTTCCAGTTGTCCCTACCCGATTCCTGTTTTCAGTCTTAAGGTTATTTTTCAGACATAGTTGACATTGTTTGGTCACTAATTGCACTATGGTATATAAATTTCTTCCTGTGATCTGTTTGTTTAAATGTTTATACAAGGCGTTACTTCCCCCATGAATTTTGTTATGTTCTTGTTGTATCACCTTCCATAATTGATTATAGGGGATCACTACTCGCCCATCAGGTCTTTTTATCCAACCCTTTTCATTTTCCTGTCCTTCCAAGTCTTCAATTAGTTTCATATCTTCTTTAGAGTACCTAGGTTTATTTTGCTCAATTACCAGTTTAATGTCAGGAATTAAGGACATCACCTCATCTCTTTCTGTTTCTGCTGCCTGTTTAGCATCAAGATCAGCCAAATTATTGCCAATCTCTTGATCAGTTACCTTTACAATGTATGATAGGCATTTCACTAGGTACTTGTACAGCTTCTAACAATCGCAGAATTTCTGTTGCATGTTTAATTTGTCTTCCCTGGATATTTAAAGGTCTTTCCAAATTGCTCCCTGTGCATGAACTACACCAAATGCATATTTGGAATCAGCTCATATGTTTATCCACTTGTCCTTTGCCAACTCCAAGGCTCTAGTCAGGGCTATTATTTCTGCCTTTTGTGCTGAGGTGTTAGAGGGTAATGGTTTAGTTCTGTTAGCTTTGAAGTTGTAGTTATGGCATATCCTGCTCTTCGTTTACCATCTTTCACAAAGCTGCTGCCGTTGGTGAGCCAGGAATCTGCACCCTCCAGAGGCTCCTCCTTCAGGTCTGGTCGACTCCAGTATACTGTCTGTAAGTGACCAAGCAATTGTGAACCAGCGGTTTGGTAGGGGTTTCCTGAAGGAAAGATGCTTTTTGTTCCAGGACTGTTGCTACTGCATGTGACACTAACACGGTGATCTTTTGTCCTAGTGTAAATTTTCAGGCCTCTTGGATGTTTGAGATAACTGCTGCCACTGCTCTCAAGCATCCAGGCCAGCCTTTACTTGTTTCATCCAGCAGAACACCATAATCATGGATCCAGAGTCAACACCATCCTGTCATTCCCAGAAATGTCCAGAGATCTTTAACTGTGGGTGGTCGTGGTGTCTGACAGATTGCTTCCTTCCTAGCTGCTCCAGGTTCTTCTTGTCCTCCTGTTATTTTGGATCCTAAGTAAGATACTTGAGTTCAAATTAGTTGAGCCTTCAGTTTAGATAGATACCTGGTTTTCATTTAGCCCTAGAAAGTTTAACCGTTCTACAGTCCATTAAACACATTCTTTCTCGGTTTTGGTAGCAATTAACAGGTCATCAACGTATTGTAGTAAAGTGCCTGTCTGGGTGGGTGCTTCCCAGGATTCTAATTCTTGTGCCAATTGATTTCCGAAAAAGGTCAGACTATTTTTAAAACATCTCAATAAGGATTTCCATGAATTTGGAATGTATAAGAATTTATGCACACCAATCTTTTTTCCCAATTTATATTTTAATGGTCTAAGAAAGAATGTTTTTTTCCCAGCAGCCAGTAGCTCCCACAACTGTAACAAATTCTTGTCCAATCGGATTTAAATTTTAATTCACTACTGAATAAGTCACCTCTGTATCTATCAGGAATTCTATCTCTTTTTTTCCTTCCCCTAGCTTTAATTTAACCAGTGGATCCGCTAGGGTAGATTCCCCAGGTCCCTGTCAATCTAACTTTAGTTCAGTTACTGGTGTTTCCTATTTCTGTTGAGGACAGTCTCGTTTCCAGTGTCCGAATTCCTTGCATTTTAGACACTGATTAGGTTCTACCTTGTGAGAAAAATTTGCTCTCTCCCCTTTATTGAACATTCCTCCTCTGCCTCTGCTATTCCTCTTCTTCTGCCCTGTCCTCTGCTTCCCCCACAGGTCCCTGTGTGCCCTAAAGCAGCTACTGTAGCAGTTGCTATCGTTCTTCGTAGCTTTTTCTCTTTTATCTGTTCCTGACTTCTATAAACTTTCCATGCCTCAGCTCCTAATTTTTCTGTATTTCGACTGTCAGGTCCTGATTATTTCTGAAGCTTTCTTCTAATATCTTCTGTTGTCTGTCCTAGAAATAAGTTAGCGATTTGTAATTTCCCTTTGGTAGAAGAACGGTCTAAGGTAGTATATTTTCGCATTGCTTCTCTTAATTTGTCTAGGAATTCGGTAGGTGTTTCTTTTGGTCCTTGTTTTATTTCAGATAGAACTGACCAACTTATGGCTTTTGGTATCGCATTTTCTAGCCCAAATTTAATCAGATTCCGATATCTCTTTAAAGCAGCATAAACTGCCGGATCATCATAGTCCCAGTCTGGTATAGTCAAAGGAACATGTTCTTCCATTCTTCCTGCTAATATACCAGTGATTACTTGGGCATTAACCTGAGCACAAGCTGTTTTTATCACCAGTTGCTTTTTGGTTTCAGTTAATGCATCTAATATTAACTCTATATCTCTCCAATCAGGATTCTGACTTTTGACAATCAATTTGAATTGTTTTGCTACTCCTATTGGATTGTTTTGATAATTTTTCACAATCTGTTTCTAAGCATCTAAGTCTCCCACTGAAAAATTTACTCTTATTCTGGTTTGTCCCTCTGGTCCCATTGCTTTCCCTAGAGGTGCCTGTGTCGCAGGTCCTGTTTTACTACGGACATGAGCAGCGATTGAGGTACCTTTAAAATCTTTTCTGCTATTATCATTACTGTTCATTCCTTCCTGTTCATCAGAATGAGGAGGACTTGCAGCAGGGGCTACAGGATTTATTGGACCTTGCGGATTTTGTGTCGCAACCGTCAGGGAGACATAATCTATCCTATCTTCCTCGCTTTTTCTCATTTTCAGACACATTTCACCTATGTCACATCCTGAACAACATCTTTCTAATTTGGGTTTCAGCCTTTTTCTATCCTTTTCTAAAGTTAGAATCAGAGGAGCAGGTGGCGCTCTATTTATTTCACATTCTTTCTGCCACTCTGTGTAACTTCTCAATGTGAAAAACATATCTGCATACATCACTTCATCCCATTTTCCTTGCCACCTTAAAAATAACATTAATTGCAACAACGTATTATAATTCAAAGTCCCATTTTTGGGCCATTTTTCCTGATCCTCTAGGGTATACAATGGCCACCATTGGTTACAATATTTAATTAAAGTCTTTTTATTTACCGAGCCCCTGGGGAATCCTCCTAATTCTTTCCAGTGAGCCAGAATACGTCCTAAAGGGCTCTTTTCTATCATTTCTCTGCTCTATTTCCCATTATTTTTGTATACACACTATACACACACTCACACGGAATCCCAAAAAATTCCACTCACTTGTTAACAATTTTGAAAACAAAACAAAAAACATACACCACGTACACAAATACTAATTAGCAGCGCAATAAAAATAAACATGGTTTGCCATTCATTAATTACTCAAGCACAGCATCAAATACTGGTTTTCAGAAATTGGGTCAGACACCAGAAAAATACAACTGCGTTCCCACAGGTGACATCTCCTATGCCTTATGGAACTATTCAGAATGTATACCTGTATACCAAACATACTCTAGCAGCCGGGTATACGCCTTTACCTATGAGATTTTTCTATCCCGATTTACAGAAGGCTTTCTTATTCCTGCGTACACCTTACGGAATATTAACCACGCTCCTGTGTTCCTGCATTGGACATCTCCTACACCTTATGGAACACTAACCGGCATTCCTGCATAGGGCATCTGCTATGCCTTACGGAATGCCATAAAATAAAATAATCAAAAGAATACCTTTACAATGATGGTGATGGTCCTTGTCTGCTCCCGCAGTGATCCGAGTGAATCGAGGGGTCCCTCCAGGGAAATTTTCTGGGGCGCCTTAGGGATTGGGTATTTTCTTTGGAGATCAATTGGCAGTCTTTAGGTAGAAATTCTGCCTGGTTTTGCCTGTTTTGGTGTTTAAGTCCAGTGATAATAGTATTAATTAGTGAAAGCTTGGGGTTAAATTCCAAAACTCTTTGGTTACAGTCAACAACCTCGGAAGCATTTGTATTGTTTGTAGGAGCCTTCTAAATGATGTTACTCCCTATCAATTACAAAAATGTCACTTTAGGCATATGCTGAGATTTGTGCTTGGGGCTAAAGTGGGAAAAATCCCTGTCCCAGCTTCTCAGAGTGATCTGTGGTGTGCCTTGATCTGACAGGCTGGCAGCAAATGCCCTTTTTCATCACTCCTCTTGACATAATTGGGTGACTGAGTGTTTGGGCTGGTGAGGAGTTGTAGTCTTGTCATGTAGCAAATCGCAGCAATAGCCTTTTTGCAAAAGAAGTTCTTACAAAACAGTTTTGATGAAGTAGTATTTTTAAAGGAGTCACACTTCCGCACTAAACCAGAACATTCAACAGTGTTGTCAGTCATTTGCATTAGGTTTTCTTGCACCAATGTGTTCTGTCAGAAACATTTCCAGAAGTGCTAATTATACCTTTATTACTGGGAAAGGAGGTATGGTGGATTTTGCTTCTGATGCTGGTCCTGTTCAAGATCAGTACACAGAGAAGTTGGTGGTGAACTTCAGGAGGAGGTGGATAGGTTTCCGAGGGAACCGGGTCAGGGGAAGTGTAGGCTTGAAATCAGCTGTGTCATTTGATTCCTGCCATCTTCTTTGTGGAATTTGGGTGTGCACATGTGCTAGAAAGGGTAAAGAATTTCATGCACAAATCAAGCAGGTGTAAGATTGCAGCACTGGAAATCTGAAACAGGCTATGTGGAAAATAAGGTCAATATAAAAAGTTAATGAAATAGAAGTTGAGCAATTACTATATTTCTGTACAGTGAAAGGCAGAGTTACAATTGTAATCAAGTAATAGAAATACTCAGGGTGTTTGAAATCAGAAAGAAAAAGAATGAGTGTATTACACTGCAGAGTGAATAAATGAGTGAATAAATCACAGGCACTCATGCTAAAGGAGGAATTATCAGAAAGAAAAGCCTAATGATCTATTGTGCCCACATTTCATTTGAGATAAATGCTCTGTAGGCTGCAATGCTTGAATTGGATTATTTTACCAAACTGAGCCATGAAGGAAAATCACATTCAAGGACTGCAGCAAAAAACCAAGCTGCATCAGAATCTCAGCATCTTGGCAGCAAGCTTCCAGCAACCATGTTTGATGGTAGCCTTAACTGCAATGTACCTTTGCTCATAAGCTGCAAGCCGTGCTGTCCAGTGCCTCCAGTATACACACTTACCCCTGTATGCACAGCATCCTGCATACAGTATCTCAGTTCATAAGATTATTTGGGCAGAAAGGCTCCACAGATATGCAGTAATATAATTCATCATTTGATTTTACAACAGTCTTTAAGGCTTTGAAACAGATCCAGTTCTCTTTGTGTGTGAGGATAGGTGATCACTGGATGCAACGCAGCTGGCAGAACTGAAGCACAAACAGCTCAGCATGCATACCAGCTTGCTGCAGCAACATGCAAGGTTCTCTGACCATCATCCAGAGAAGCACTTGAACACACTCTTATCTGAAGCACATCTGTAAGCACATTTGTCTTTTGCTTATTAGAAGGAAGGTGCCACAGCTTGTATGGCTAAAATTTAGGAAAGTAGTTGCCTAATGTGTGTATTTATGCTAAGGTAATTTTATTCCAAAAAAGAAACCCAGAACTGTCAGTTTACCATCCAAACACCATCTTAAAACAAGTTGGTAATAACTTCTGATTCATCTACTTGCTGGATGTTTGTTTGATCATCTTTTATACTCTGGATTAATGGGTAAACTCCAAAATATTTTTGCTGTTTCCACCCATACTTAGCCTTCATATAATCTCCTGGGTTTTATTATTCTTGTGAAAGAAATTGTTTGCACCAAAGAGTCCTACCAAGAGTCCTGATCCTCTAGACAGTGCTGCATTTAGCACTTCCCAGCTCCCAGCAATCTTTTTGGGAAAGTGAGATGTATTTGCAAGGCTGAATTCTATAAAAGCAACAAAGCTGGGGGAAAAGAAATTATACCCCTTCTTTTTTTTTTTTTTTTGCTGCTGCTGCTGCCTGCTTCACTCTGTAACATTCCTAAGAGCTACTGAAATAGTCGAAATGCTGTTCTGCTACCGTGTGAGTGCAATTATTTAATGTGCACAACAGCTAAATACAGAGGTCTGCTGTCTCCACATCCCACAGCTTCTCTGTCTCCAGACAAACTGTGTTCATGATTTGTACTGATTCAAGTGAAAACTGTTGTTAAGTGTCATGTTAAGCCAAAATTGTTACAGCTAGAGTTGAAGACTGTTAACATACAAAACCAATGTCTGGATTAACATTTTAGTGTTGTTTAAGATTTAATTTTCAAATCTTTTTGAAGCATCTTCAAATTCTCTAAAAAGTAATAAATGTTTGTTTTAAATGAGATAGTTTGCTTTCTTGTAGAGCAGGCAGTTTTTAAAAAAGCGCCCTTTCTCATATCCAAGTGTTAAATATAACTTGTCAGCTTAAATATTGTCTTGATACAAGATTTCAGGAGTGTGAAACTGAAGTGAATATCCATTTGGAAACTTTTTTTTCTATTTGAAAAGAAGACAGAAGATGTTTACTTATACCACGTATGTGTGACCTCATCCCACATACTCATACTGTACAACACAGAGGAAATCTGGAGCACTGAAAGGCTTATGGGTCACGTCTGAGTGATAAGAGCTGATAGCACATTTAATAAAATTGGGGGATAATTTTCTCCTTTGAAACCTGGATTATTTTGAATAATTTAATTCAGTGTTGTGCCACTTTTCTCACAGTTTACTGTTCTCAGATAACGTGATCTGAATTTCTGCTGCCTATAAATAGAATCTGCCCAGCTCTGCCACTCTAACAAACCAGTATCGTCCCCACTCCCAGGTTCTCCAATATGCCATCATGACACTGAGTGATAACTGAATGAATATGAACGTTTGGATACAAACATGCAAGGAAGATCTGACTGCGCACTTGCAGCATTGCCAACTGTAACCGTGTTGGAACAGCGTGTCTTGGTGCAATTACAGGAAAGGTGGGATCAGCCCCACGATAAGCAGGATAAATGATAGAGTTAAACCATTAAATCAAAATGGCTCTTTTCAGTTATTTCAGCTTCCAAGTATTTGTCACAAACCAGAAGTGAATCTCTAGCACGTAGTGCTTGAAACGCTCAAAGTCAGAATATTTTTGAAGCAAGTATTTTTTTTATTCTATGCGAACAACCTCTTTTGAGGCAAATAGATCTTGCTACTAAAATATCTCTTTTGAATCAGGAGTTACATTTTAGAAAATGTATACATATGCCTCTTCTGAGTAATTGTCTTGCCATTGCTCTGCAGAGCCTGTTTCTTTACATGAGGAGTAAGGAATGGGAAGGAATTCTAGCATACCTGCCTGTTTAGGTTGTGTGTTGTACTCAGACTCTAAGAAGCAGCCTGTATTACTTTTGTACGGCTTTAAGATATTTCAGGATTTGTTTTGATCATAAAACCCACAAACAACCTCCAAACCAATACATCAATTCAGCTGATTTTAAATACAATTTCCCATTTACAGTTGTATCTTAAAATGCAGTCACTGTTAAAGCTTAAAACCATAGTTTAGAAGGTACCTGCTATTGCAACAGCTACACAGAGGGCATTGTATCACCAGTGTCTCATAATAAGAGCAGACTGTCTGTCACAGAGTTTCTGATAATCTGTGCGTATCAAGTGCAAGTGTTAATCTTACCATATTTCCCAAAGATCTTATTTCCTTGCAAAGAAACACTGATAAGAAAACTGTGTCTTGAGTAGTTCAATTCCTAGCTAATAATGCAAACAAACTGGGGAAGTGCTAATTATAGCACCTGAGGGAATACAGAGCTGGAATGTGTGAGTGCTGGGGTACAATGGATGCTGGCTTTTTCTGCTTCTGACAGATAATGTTTTCTGCATTATTGATGAAGATGTCTGAATGAAGTTTTGCTACTTCAAGAAAAGCTGGAAGAACATTTTTGCCAAATGCTTCAAATTGTTTATTGAGCATTATTATGAAGTAGTATTCTAGAGGTCCAATAAGCATAGAAGATTTGGTGTAAAACAGTAACTCAATATGTAGTTATCTCCTTAGCTCAAACTTGCCATGATGCTGTGCTTGCTTTAAGAATTTGGGAGTCTTTATGAAGTAGA